AAATGTGAACAATTAGCTGGTCTGACCTTCCTCGCCTGTCTCCACAGATCGACTTAATGCCTCACGATGTCATCACTCAGCTGCTGCGAGTGCTGGCCATCGAGACCAAACAAGAGAAGGCCATCATCAACGCCGATCCGCCAGACGTGGCCCTCAGCGGGCTCGAGGCCTTCTCCTTCGACTACATCGTCAAATGGCCGCTCTCGCTCATCATCAACAGGTTCAGAGCTCCAGTGGATCTTACTCTAGATAAATACATCTGGAGATATTTATTAATCTGTGAATTGTGACAAAAAAATAAAAAATACAAGCTGTAAAATAAACAAAAAAATGAGACGGTTAAAACAAATAAAGGCAGAAAAATATTGGTTTTAGTTTGACTGAATTAAATTTGTAAAAAGTGGGAAATCACAAAACCAACCTGTTTATTTAGAAGCGCTAATGTTTGCATTATTTATCCAGGAAAGCACTGACGAGGTACCAGATGTTGTTCAGACACATGTTTTACTGCAAACATGTTGAGCGGCTGCTGTGCAACGTTTGGATCAGCAACAAAGACTTCAGGCAGTACTCCTTACACTCTGCCAAATGGTGAGCCGCCACGAATCTGAGGTGACTTCCTGTAAAAGTTTCAACCAGTAGAACGTTCTTACCTTTTGTTCTTACCACCTGTGTGCAGGTTCGCTGCCGCGTTCGCCCTCCGACAGCGGATGCTCAACTTTGTGCAGAACATTCAGTACTACATGATGTTTGAGGTGATGGAGCCCACCTGGCACGTCATGGAGACCAACCTGAAAATGGTGAGTGATTGAAGAAGGACCCCCGAGGAGCACTGAGAAGGAGACGTGCTGGTTTCAGGGAAAATGTGATCTTAAGTTATTTTTCTCTTCTTCTTTCTGCAGGCTTCAAACATCGATGATGTGCTTTGTCATCACACCAGCTTCCTGGACAACTGCCTAAAGGACTGCATGCTGACCAACCCCGAGCTGCTCAGGATCTTCTCCAAGCTCATGTCTGTCTGCGTCATGTTCACAAACTGCATGCAGGTATTTCCACGACTGCATAAAACCAGAGATAATGAAGTCACGGCCTCAATAATGTAGTATTTGATTACAGCACTCTTTAATTTACGTTAGTTTCATGAATCAATGTATTTAAGCTTAAACCCTGCAAAAAACTGCTGCACACACATTTTTAAATTGAAGCACTCATAGTTTGAATTTCTGTTTAGACACGGTGGATAATAAAGTCTGCAGACTTCTGTTAAAATGTGAAGTTTTTGTGTGGGTAAATAGGAGAAGAGATCACTCTTGATCTCGTCAGACTATAACAAATATTCCCACATGCTTTTTGGAGACTTGATGAAACCCAGACATGTGAAGAATATGAGATGGCTTTTTGCAAATCTATTTTGGGCGCCTGCAGCTTTTCTGTGACCATTGACTCAGAGCCTCAAAATCTGGATGCAGAATTGCACAAAAGCCTCAGCAGGCGTGTTGCGTTGATAAAAATGTTGTGGTTATTGTGCAGCATTTACGGGACCTACACTGTACTCAGATTGTTGTTTGTTTTCATAGTCGGATAAATGTTCATTTTTCCTTTTATTTGAACATTGTTTTACAGCTCTGCTATAAGTAAGCCTAGAAAAACCTGAAAATGAAACAAACAGATGTGTTTTTGCTCTTTTTTTCCCCTCTGCTGATGAAGCGTTTCACACAGAGCATGAGGCTGGAGCGCCTCTCCATGGAGCAGGGGACGATGGATGAGCCCTCCGCTCAGAGCGAGCAGGCCGACGAGCCAGAGAAAAAGAGGCTGACCACGAAGGTACAAAGCATCCATCACCACAGCCTCCCCTCTGAGAAACACGTACTGGAATAGAGAGGCTGTAAACTTTACTAAATCCTCCTAAAATTTTCATTAAATGATTGTTTGTCGTCCTTTCCTCTTGGCTGCTGCTTCAGTTTTTAGCCGATCACGCAGACTCCCTCCAGACCGACGCCAGCATCGAAGCCACCATCAGCAAGTTTGACAGCAACTTCAGCATGCTGCTGCTGGACCTGCTGGACAAGCTGAGCATCTACAGCACCAACGACTGCGAGCACAGCATGATCAGCATCATTTACAGGTACGCCTGTCAGCATTACAGAGGACGTTTGTAATAGGCTTTAAATGTTTTTCTTCATGCCATCACACAGGCTCAAAGCAGTTGCTGTACTATTCATTTGCATGGAAATGAAGCTGAATGTCAATTTTCTCTTTGCACTCACTAACAGTTGTTAACATTTAATAACCAGAACAGTTTTGTAGGTGGCTTTTGTTAAGATAGCATTTTTTAGACTCCTATCCTGCTCCAATGGGGATTAAAAAAAATATCCTGCCCATTTAAAAACAAAGGTTCTGGGTCATGTGATCACCTTAAAGGTACTTATCATAATTTTCTTTAAAAATAGTTAAAAAAAAAAAAAATCTTGTATGAACTAAACCTAACTACAGAGTTTGAAAAGACATCTACTCTGGGTTTATGTCTGTATTGTGTCAAAGAGACATCAGCTGATGTTGCACTTTCTTGTAATACCACTTTGCACCACAAGATGGTGCAGTGAGTCACTGTTGCCTAGCCTAGTTCTTCGGACACATACAACTATAATTTGATCTTCAGTGGGCCGGACGACTAAACCTTCCCCTCAGTGCAGAAAAGTTTAAATGTATTTTGAAAGCATGAATCAAACAGAGCTGCTGAACATAAAACTCAGTTTTCATCTTCCTGCAGAAAAGCTGCTGTTTTAAATCAGTCAGTAAAGGTCCTGGGGTTAACTCTCAAATATATGTGTAATATTACAGGAAGCAGCTCATTATCTGGATTTTTAACAAGAATTAAAAACTTAATTTACTGTGTTTATGTAACTTTTTATTGATTTATTTACTCTGGAAAATGCTAAAGACGGAGTAAAAACAGGATGTTTTCTGTTATTCAATTGAAATACTAGCAGTAAAAACACCTCTTTCTCTTTTTTTAAATTTTGTGGTATGGTACATATTGTTGGTAGATATTGTTTATTGGCTTTATATTTGTGAGTAACTGCAAATTTGAGATCTTTTAAAGCCGCTGGGCTGACTAGACAAGGCTGACCCTTGGGCCTCTCGTTTGACATCGCTGAGATCGGTCATTTAGAGCACACGCTTATTTAAAAAAATGCAGAATATCGAAAGCTAACAGCAGCACACATCTGAAGGCTCTACAATAATTACAAAAGGTACCTTAAATTTATACTTCAGCTTTCACCACCAGGGGACAGCGTTTACAAATCATAAGATTTGCTTTCTCTGGACCTCGGCTGTAAATATGAAATCTGGTTTAAAAAAAAGTTTTTCCTCACTGCAACATCTTCTGATATAAAATCATATTACACAAAAGTTCAGCCCAACACTAGTTCAACTTCAGGTCATGTCTCTTTAACACGATATGTAGGGCTTATGAACTTAAAGGCAAAATAGTTATTTCTTTGCATCTTGTTGATATCATCAGTTAAGTTTTTAAAAAACAGAAATGTACCTTAAAGTACCATTTAAACACTTTTCAGTGATAACATCTGCTTTTTTGAGGAATAGCAAATTTGTTGGACTGTAATAAAATGAATTTTATTTGAAACAAAAGGTGCATCATTACATTTACTCTGATGACTCCTCAGGCTGGACTTTAACGGCTTCTACACTGAGCGGCTGGAGAGGATGGCCATCGAGCGCAGTCAGAAGGCAGCAGCGTAGCCTGTCGTCGCTTCGTGTGAATATGCAAAAATAAAAGTTTCATCATACCTGCTCATCAGTCCAACCGCCCAGATAGTCACGATTCAAAGAGCTAAGACGTGTATGTTTGTTCAGATATATATATGACATTTCTGTATGACCTGTAGAGTCATTCATGTCTGCAGTGTCGTTTTAGTGCTTCAGCTCTGAAAATGTGAGTCGTCACT